GGCGCGCGCAGGCCGGGCCAGGCGCCGCCCGCCGCTCCCCAGGCCGCTCCGCCGCCGCCGCCCGAGGCCCGCACTCGCCCGGCCGCCGCTCAGCCCGGCTGCGGGGCGGGGCGGCCGCGACGGGCGGGCGGTGCCGCGCGAGGCCCGCAGATTGGGCCGGTGGCTGTCCGTCCGGCTGAACGGGCCCTCCGATTGGCCTGGCTCGCGCCGGGAGGGCGGGCGCCCCTGTCGCCCTCGGGGCGGGGCCGGCACCGAAGAAGGCGGGATCTTTGGGGTGGAGGCGCTTCTCATTGGACTCGCGAGCGAGGTTCTTTCTTTCAGAATGAAAGGGAGGCGGGGTCGTTGAGGAGGTGGAGCGGCCGTCCTCCATGGCCAATTATAATTGCTCTGAGGACACGTCAGTCATAGTGAATGGGCTTGTTATTGGGAGTTTCGCGGAATGGGGCGTGACCAGAAGTGCCAGGTGTACAGAAAGAGTCTCCCTTGGTTCCCAGGTTGGGTCAGCCCCCGAGACAAGGACCTTAGCGGAGCGAAAGGGGACGTGGCCCGAAAGCTGGAAAATACCGATAGGAGGTCCAGCTACTCTTGCTATATTTAGGGAGAAATCTGTTTCTGAACCATCTTTTCCCCAGAAACACTGGAAAGAGATAGGCCATAAATTTCAAGCAAATATACCTTTAAGAGTTGCATGGGACTCCTGGCGACTTTCGAAAAGCTGGCTAATCATCATAATCACCTGAAATTCCTCAGGAAAGTCTTTATATAGCATAGTGATCGAGAGAGGGCGACCTGGATTTGCTGAGCCTGTGAGTTAAAACCTATACTCAACCAAGTTACTGGTTATACTGGTTGCGTTACCTTTTAAGGGACTTTGTGTGTGTGTGTGTGTGTGTGTGTGTGTGTGTGTGTGTGTGTGTTTTGTTCTTAGCAAGTACCTCCAGTAGCTGTGAAAATATAAACTGAGAACATGAACTTGCAAAACAGTACAGTGTTTACCCCCAAATAGGTGCTTGAGGAATGTCAGCTGATTTTATTAGATTCCTTATGCTCACCAGATCTACTGATCTGCTGGAAGGAGCCCAGGGATCCAGGTGATTGGTTAGATTTGGGAACAGTCTTAAAGATTATTTTGTCACCGACTTGCCTTTCCACCCCGTACAGGAGAATACAATGAAGGGGAGCAGGAAAAACAAATAACCCATGATCACACAGGGCAGCTGGAACTCTGTTCTTTTAGAACATCTGTCTGCTTCTAATCAGAGAGGGATATGATCAATAGAGAAAAAAAAATGATTAGTGAATGTGATTCCATTATATTCTATGAATAATTTTTGCATGATCCTTTTTTTGCATCAAGAAACTTATACATTCGTTAGGAAGCCAGACTGTTCAAATTACTGGGCAAAACAGAGTCTAAAGGCATCCCTATTTTCTGCCATGGAGCCATGGATATTCAAGATTTAATTGAGATTTAAACTCTCTGAGGACCTTAAGTGGCCATGATTTATAGCATTTGTCACTTGCTACAAATGCTATAAATCATGGCATGAATTTGTATTCCTTTTGAGTCAACATTATTCAGTAAAACAATATGGATAAAATTCATATTATCTTTGAAAAACGATTAAAAGGAAATCTTGTTTCTTTGTGAAAAATCATCTCCCGCAAAAAGCCAAGCACCGCTATTACAACAGAAGTGAAGAGGACTAAGAAAGCAATTTTCTAAAACAGAAAATAGGGAAATTTCAAAGAGGGACAATAGTATTCAAGTCAGAGTTCATCTCATATTCAGTTAAAAAATTGAAGTAATTCACAAAATAGAATCACCAAGTGCTTCAGACAACAGGAACAAATAACTTTATATCTTTACAAATAGCTTGATGTCTATGTTTATATAATCATTAAATATTTTAAAGGGTCACTTACATTTTTTAGTGACACATTATGGCATTTTATGGGAGAAATTATATGCTGTTAGTGGTATCTAATTTGGGAATTTGACAAGGTCCCTGGACATATCCTTCACGTTGTCAAGGGGCTAAAGTGCTTCAAATAAACAAGCTTATCTGTGTAGTCAATAATAATCTCTTAATTATCCCCTATATTTATGGCAAGCTATAATTTTCAAAGTGCTTCCACATACATGATCTCATCTGTCCTTTCCACACTGCTGGGAGGGAGGCCAGTCAGAGGCACTGTAATAGAATAATCTGAGTCCTGGGCAGCTATCATTGCTCATCAGGAGAAGTCTGCTGGTAATTGTAGGACCTGGATGGGAAGCCTAACCCAGTGTGTTCATCACATACAATGGAGTTGGAGGAAAACCTGAGAGCCTGGTTGGGAGCCTGGTTCTACCACCCATTGCTCTGTGACCTTGAATGAGTTACTTAATGCTTTTGAGGCTTAGTTTCCTTATCTGTAAAGTCAGGATAAAAATAAGACCTTGATAAGTATTAAATAAGTTAACCTGCAAGGCTGCAGATGTAGCTCATTGGTAGAGTATGTCCTGATTGCACATGAGACCATGGGTTCAATCCCCAGGAAACAAAACAAGAGCCACGCGTGGTGGCAAGAGTTTGTGGTCCCAGTTACTTGGGAGGTTAAGGCAGAAATGTCACTTGAGTCCAGGAATTGAAGCCCAATCTGCGACATAGTGAGATTTCATTGCTTCAGGAAAAAAGGAAGAGAGGAGGAAATGATCTGGTTAAATTAAGGTACATTCATATAATGCAATAATATGAAGTTCCTAAAAGAATAAGCAAGACTGAGATTTGCAAACAGATGGCCCACAGACATGCTGTCTGAGACCACCATGTGTTTAAAAATTGGTTGAGGGGTGGAAGGGATATACTGAATGCTCCTCCCAATTTGTGTTCAGTTCCACCTCCTAAGCCAAGGAGCACCCAGCAGGGATTGGAACATATGTGTGAAACAGTGGACTCATCTGGAATCTCTAGAAAGGGAGCAGCCACAGGACTCTCGCTCCCTAGCTGGGTGGAAGTGAGAGGGCCTGGAGGCCTGGAATTGAGCTCAGTTTTCTGGGATTCCCCAGAGGAAGAGGATCCCTGGGATCCCATGCATGTAATTCCCTTGTGATGTCCTAGAAGGGTTTTTGGCCCTGGGGAAAATGTGGGAGAGCTACATGGGGTGGGGGGACATTTTCTCCATCTCTGAGTGAGGGAGCTTGCCAACAACTGCATTTGCTTCAACTGGTAGTCATCAGAGGAGCAGCACCTTGTCCATTACACCATTTTTCTCTACTGCATGAGAGACCTTAAAGGCTTTCTCTGAAAGGCCAAGAGCTGTGAGTACAAAAAAAAAAAAAAGAACACAAACTTAAGGAGACGCATATACCAGAGAAAAGCAGATAAAATAGAATATTTCCAATAGTGGTGAGTAGAATTTCACATCATTATCACCACCATCATGACCATCACCACCATCATCATCACTACCACCACCACAGAGTCATCACCATCATTGCCACCTTCACTATGACCACCATCACCACCACTGTCATCCCACCTTAGGAAAACTGTTCATGGCATAAAATGAAAATAGCAAATCAGGATTTACAGAAGGAGGAGAGGGAGGAGGAGGAGGTAGGGACACAGGTAAAGAAATAATAAAGTTTCTTTGGCTGATGGTGTATCGGACCAAATACTCAGTAACCATTAAAAAATATCACACAAACAAATCAAAACTTTAAAAAAGTGTCACTGAGCAGAGCAAGGAAGGCCCCTGGCCAACATCAAAGTGAAAGCAGAAAGACAAAGAATTGAACTGATAAGTTGTGAAACTCCAGCTGCCTGGGGGCTCCTGCTGAAGCCTTTGAATCTGGCCTTCTATCTCCCTGGCTGTGCTGGGGACACAGGAGACCAGAGGGCAGGAGTAGAGATCATCAAAGACAGAGCCTCTGATGGGCCACTGGATAAACCCAGGGTCACAGAGATCTGTGCATACAGGGGAAAGATGAAGTAGCCAAATCAAGAGTATGACAAAGTTTATCAATACATTAGGTTTCTCAACGCATATTTAAAATCCCTGAACAGGCAAACAAGACAACATGAGTGAAAACCAGCTCAGATACAGCCAGAAGAATCACCCCCACGAAAAGCTGGGGTACTGAAATTATCAAGTATAGATCACTGAATGAATGTATTTACTTCTAAAGAAATAAAAGAGGCAATTGAAAGTCTCAGTAAGAAATAAGAGAATATAATCAATGCCTGAAATGTGGAAGAAGAACCAAACAACATGTAAATATGAAAAGCAAACTAAATAGAAACTTAATGGATGGGTTAAATTGCAGATTAAGACACAAAAGAAAGACTGGACTGGATTATAGGTCTGGAAAAAATTACCCTGAATCCAACACGGACCTGAGATATGGAAAGTGTGATAGGAAAATGAGAGAGAGAGAGAGAGAGAGAGAGA